GGTGTTGAAGGCGCTGGAGAAGTCGAAGAACATGATGCGGACTGAGGTGTCAGGTCTGTCCAGGGAGGAATAGGCCTTCTGCAACAGGTAGATGATTGCATCATCAACCCCCACATGGGGCTGATATGCGAACTGCAGGGGGTCTTCACACAATCCCATACTGCTTATATACTTTCTATGTTTCTGTATTTTGAAACTTGTTCAAAGGGAGCATTTATTTAAAAAAAGTATATTTATATATGTGTACTTAATGCGGAAATGTTTTAGGTTTGTATTTTCAGGACATCCTGGAAATCTGTGTGTGTGCTACATTTTCTTGTCTTTAAGAACTTTTATGGAAAGAACATCAGATACGTTTTTGTGTGTGTGTCTTATTTGTTTCATGTAGTAATAACTTGTGTTTTATATATTTTTTAGGTCTGTTATTATTATTTTTTAAAGGTGTATTTACTGCATCTTCTGAGGATGACTGCAATTCTTTATGTTCCCCTGCATGTTTATTCCCCAGAGAAAGGGAGGGAGTGGAAGGTGAGAGGGCACCCAGAAGCCTTCAGTCAGCTCCTTCACATCCCACAAAACAGCAGCAGCGGGATACACAGCAACTTTATAACCAACAGAAAATTCAAACCAAGGTTCACATGCGTAATCTCAAGGTTGGTTGGTACACTGTGTGTGTGGGTGTATTTGCAGGTTAATACAGAATGTGAATTTTAGAACTTATGGGCCTGCATGTTTGCATGTGTCAGTGCCTGCAGAGGCATTTCTCTGGATGGTATGCGGTGGTGTTGGACCGAAGGCTACGTTTGGGTAAGGCCATGGCCCTCTGTGACTGGAAGAGGCAGCTGAGAGCATGGCGAGCGTGGAGGGCAGTGGTGTGGGCAGCACAAAGGCAGCGAGAGGTGGCGAGAACAGAGCAGGAGCTGCGGGCTGAAAACAGGCAAGAATCTAAAAGAAATTATGTTAAAGGGCCCAGCTAACCTTTATTGTATAAAGTCTTTTACTACAAAAAACACTATGTAGCTACTATCTATAATACTTATATTCAAAATTAGATGTGATGGCATTCCTCAAAGACACTCATTGATTTTGATCTTATTACCCTCACTAAGCAATAATTGACTACAAATCATATCTGTTACCTCTTCCAGACAATGCCAGCTGGCTGTAGAGAGTGACCGGAGGCGGTTGCTACGCCGATGTCTGAATGAGTGGCAGCTCTGGTGTCGGACGGAGAAGGAACAACGAGAGCTTTTGGCCCAGCAGCAGGAGACCCGGCGCAAGATGGACGCCTTAATTAACGCTGCATCGACAGGCAAACTCAAGGCAACAGAAACGCCAACTTATCAGCCAGTCATGACCCCGCCTGAGGCATCTAACCAACCAGAGAGCACAGAAAAGGTGAGCAGTGCATTCACAAATCCTCATATCGGCAACAGCCATGAAATCATGACTAAAACATCAACCCTATCCCTGGCAGGTGATGCTAAAAGCCTAATTACTGTTTAGTGTTAAGTTTGGAACTAAACTGAATAAAACACATCTTATCTTTGCATGGGATGACCTGAACCCTTCTCAGTTCGACCAGGGAGAAAAACCTTTTCCTGCTGAAATATTCACAACTCTGCAGAGTGTGACAGCAGGGAAAAAGGGGAGGTGTAAATATAGAGGGCGCGAAGGTATAGAGCAGATGGAAAGAATGCGAAAGAGAAATAAGAGGCGGAGAATAGTGGAACAGAGCTCGAGGGACGGAAGAAACGGAACAGGAGATGAAGTTGGAGGAGTTCATGGTGGAGGGGTCAATAAAGAGGCCATACTCACTATCAGGCCCCTGCTGCTTTATAAATCAGGATTCCTGGAGTTCAGTAAAGATTAAGGACTTTGCTACTGTAGCTATAATATTCCCCTTAAGCGTTTTGTAGACTTAGACCTAAGGGCAGGTTTAATTTTTTTATATAGAATAACATCATCAAATCTATTTCCGTCTGTAGGAAGATCACCACAGGTCAGGCACTTTAGCCCCAGAGAGCTCTGCAGTACATCAGAACAAGACTACTGTGGGCTCTGCAGCCCAGCCCACTCAGCCGTGGCAGGTGACCCGACGGCATGCAGCACCGACTGCCGCTGAGCTCCAAGCGACACGGCAGAGAGGTGAGGGCGGTGGCGTCACCTGTTCAAAAAGGGCAGTGTCGCCGGGTGGCAGGTTTGAGAACAGACACGCCATCCAGCAGCAGATCATCACCCAGCAGAGGAAGCTGTTGAAGGAGCAGCAAGAGCAAATTGCCCGATTGAGGGAAGAGCAGAGCATTGCGGGCCTGGAGCTGGAAATGGAGAAAACCGCACAGCTCACCCAGCTATCAGTGCTGAGAGACACGAGACCAAAGAGCCATAAGGTTGACCCCACAGAGGAGAGGTAGGCCCGCTGTGCTTTTGGTCTGCCGTTTTGTTGTTTGAGTGAGTTTCTCATCGTCTGATAAACCATTAAGGTAGCACATATAGATGTTTATATCATTACAACATATCATTATGTCATTAATTAAGGGTAATAAACCAACAATTCTGCAGTTATAAAGGTATTAGGGTCATGAGGTTTTTACTTTCTGATAAGCCAGAAAAAAAGGTTAATATATATATTTTAATAAGTGGTTAATTAAGAGTTTGCACACTAATACATTAAGTCTGCAGTTATAAGTATGAATAAATAGCTAATAAACATGGCCTAACTAATGTATATCAGTCAAAATGTTCATGTTAACCCTATAATACACTAAATGAAACCATTTAGAAGTTGGTCCAGTGGCTCTGGATGTAGATCCTTGCACATTATGATAGATTTATTACAAGCTCAGATAGTAAAGATAGTATAGAAAAGTAATGTGAAAAGGTTACAAATTGGTGTAGGAATATGTGAGTAGTATGTGCCTCTAGGGGTTACACTACTGTATATCTATATATATTCTTGTACATATTATTTTCTGCCTCTCCCTCAGGACAGTACATTGTAAGACTGTCTCTATATCTCTGCATGCCCCACATGTGCTGTTAGCTCTAAAACGCTCTTTTAGATGATGAATAATCACTTAGATGAGCTCACATCTGTTTCTACAATGCAGACTAATGGCAGAAGAAGCTGGCGGGTCATCGCCTGTGCACACCTCAGTGGCTAATCAGGGGTTGAAAGTATCTTTAAAGAAATAATACCCCTTTGAACTAATGTCTACAATAGTGCAGGCACTTGTTTTCAGGACCAACACCGAGGTGAATTGGGGTAAAAGTCATTATGCGTTAATAGCTTTCCACAAATCACATAGGAGTAGATACAAAGAAAGCGATCAGCTACAGAAGGATTTTGAGGCTTAGAGAGAACAGAGGAGCAGGAAGGTTGTGCAAAAGTTTAATATTGTGAACATGAATTCCTTATATAATTATATATTTATGTCATAACAGATTAAATAAACTTTTCAAGAAGTCCATACAACCTTGAACATAGTTTCTTGAGTAAAACAGAAAGTCATTTACAGATTTATGGACAGTAGGATGCATGTCGGTTGAGTTTGCCTGAAGTCCATACCTGTCTGAGTAAAACTTGACAGGCAAGGATCAGGAGGATGTGAATGTGCAGACAGAGTTGTGACGGGTCTTTGTTTTGGTGCTACCGGCTGTGATTGTTGCAGGGCACCGAGAGTTACTGGAGAACCTGACAGTCTCTGTGCACCTCCGAGGAAAGCTGTCACACGCAAGACAGGCCTTCATCCAATCATCACAGGTCAGTCTGCAAGTTCAGCCGCGTAGCAGCAGAGGATGACATACACAGATTTAAATATAAACATATGTAGCAGGTTCATATCTTCTTCCAAACATATGGCGACAGAATGCTGTAGCTCTTTTGTCAAGAAAATTGCATGACCCTACAGGTCTATAGTCCTAGCACAGTCCTATAGCACTCATAGTTACCTAAACTTCCAGTTACGTGTTCAGAATATGAAGCATACATTAACATCCACATAGACACTCCTGAGATTCTCTTCGTACCACAGAAGAATACCTTGCGCTCAACTCACCTCTCTCCCTCTCCCTGAAGCCATGGAGGCCCGCGCACGCCAACGCGCAGAGCGAAGGAAGGAAATCGAGGAACTCAAGAGAAAGAAGGAAGAGGAAAAACTGGTAAAAGATTGAGGACTTGTTTTCCGGACCAACAAGCTGTTTTGTAGGATAACTAGCAAGTTGTAACTGTCTGGAAGTAATACAAAATGCAACTTTTCAGGCTGAGATGAAAGCCGCTGAGGAGCAGAGGCAGAGGGAGGAGGAGGAGGAGAAACGCAAAGCAGCAGAAAAGAAGAAGGAGGAGAAAAGGCTGGAAAGAGAGGTGAGATGCGTTTCATATTTCGTGCTTGTTCACAAAGACATGAGTCAGAATAAAGGAAACAGTGCTCTCCTGTGAGTAACACTGAGTCACTTTCTGTGTGTAGAGGGAAGAGGAAAAACAGAGGCAGCTGAAAAGGCAACAGGAGCTCATGAAGCTGGCCCGTCAACACTACGACAGAAACTTACTGCTACGGCGAGGCCTGGCACCATGGAAACGCCTCATTCAGCTCAGACAAGCCAACATGCAGGTAAAGCACCTGTCTTGTCAATTTCAGGCTGTCAGCTGCTACAGAAACATAGAGAGTGTTTTCATCCAAGTTCTGCCTGCCCTCACTCCACACTTTACAAACCCAGGAGGTGCTATTAATTCCGGCTTTAACTATGAAGAGCGCACAAAAAAATCCTATTTGAACAGGAAACTGCAGCGCTTCAGGCTTTCCATTATCACACATGCTCCTACAACAGAATTACAATAAGGAAAAAGGGAAGAATTTTGACCTTCAATGCTATAAATCCAAGTCCTGGTACACATCACGGATTTGAATAATAAAAAGCCTCCTCGGTTATAGACTTGTTTGAACATTAAAGGGAGCACATCCAGTACAGCATGTGCATCTGCTATCTGGGTTAGAGGCAGCCACTTGTTTGTTTATTAAAGGCTTTTTATAATTCAAATCTTTACAAGTAGCCAGATGTTTATTGTGTCTCACAGACCATTGGTGGACATAATGCATCCCTTTATTCTCATAGTAAGAAGCTTGTTCAGTTATTTCTTTTACATCTGAGTAAGATTATAAATTGGATCAGTCTGAAATTTTAGCAATACAAAGAGGATTATACGTGCTTTTTTTAGGAGGTAGAAACAGCTTAGATGCATTCAAAACACTGGAAAAGCTTTTTAACCAATAGTATTTTGAGTAACTTAAACAATAGTAACTTCTTAATACTGTCATAATTAATACAATCTTTGACTTTTCATCTATTTTTCATTTTCACCTTGGCTGACAATTATTTATGTATAATTTTTTTCCCTCTGTATTTATTATTCCTTGCTGGGATTTTCTCCATCACACAACCGCGATTTAATCGTCTGATAATTGTGAACACAATGAGCAAACTGGTTTGGTAAAAATACAGCAGGAAAATAAAACATCCCAAAGGCAAAAGCTACAAAAACACACATTCCCACCATCCCCATGATTCATTTGCACAGAATCACATGAACTGCAAAAACTCATGTGCACATACATGTTTCACAGCTATAAATCCCCTTTGTTAAATGTGGGATTCAGTCACAGATAGGCGCTTCATCGTTTGACACCACTCTATTGTTTCAACCTGGCACATATGATTGAGTTTGGATGCATTCATTCAGCGTGGATCTGTGCTTTTCTCTTTAATGCCTGCCAGCTGGCCGAGAGTCACTACAATCTCTTCCTCCTGAGGCGGTGCACGCTAGGCTGGCAGCAATCAGCAAGAGAGTCCTTGTCTGAGAAAGAAGCTTCTGCTGACCAACTGCACCAGCACTTCTTGCTTCGGAGGAGCTTAAGCTGCTGGAAAAGAGTGTGTATACACACGCACAGACACAGTTTTCTCCCCATCACCTTTTTCTAATCTCCCCTTCTACCTGCACTCAATTAAGTGTTAGGTGCCCAGTCTTTAAGATAAAAAAAAGTGTAGACCGTTTTCTATTTCTTTTCTTGTTTAAGCTTAAACTTACTGATTAACTTGCAGTTGGCATTTTGTCGTGGATTTTACAGCTTAAAGATACAGCATACTGCATGTTTAAAAAAAGTATAAGTTATAGTTAACAACTTAAATAATTAGTTTACTACAGATCAATGATACACTTTCAGATTGTCCTTATCTTTGAGTGACTGTTTTCCGTCTCAGCTAAAGGACTGGCGGATGATTCAAGAGGAGAGAGCCGAGCGTTTCTATCGCACTCGCACTCTGAGGAGGTTTCTGCTGGCACTGCTGGACCATGTGACCCAGGAGAGGCTGGTGGAGTGGGACCGTCAGGAGCTGGCTCAGGAGCACAATAACAGGTCTGCTACCCGTGACTTTCCCATATGTTCCCTGTATGGATGCTGCAGCGTCTTCCCCCCACTAAGATAGCCATCTAACAGGGTGTCCAATTAAATGTAACAGCTTGTAAAACTGTAATTATGAGAACAGTTTGATAACAGTTTGCCAAAAAAATATAATGCTGTGAATTCCTATAAAACTCAAATTAATTTTAACTGTATAGACACTATAAGGCTAATGCTATAAAGAAAGTTCAGCCTTTCTTATGGTGGTTGATTCATGAAGATAAAGGTTAGACACTGGAACATGTATTCTTGAGCAGAACCAGTTCCACTGAACATTTACCGATATGAGAGCTTCAGCGGTGCATCATCTTCTCCATTGTGCATTGGATTGTAAATTACACCTTCATCTCCTTAACTCCAATGAAGTGCCCCATACAGTATCTGCTGTTAGCTGTAAATGTCTCTTCATATTATGATTAATGGAGTCAATTATGGTGTTCTGCTGCTCAGGTAGAAACTTAAATGTGGCTAAACTAGCTGGCATAGCGTAATGTTTATGGTCTGACTGGTCTCCAGCCCTGGGTAATCAAAAAGTATTTTCTGCAATACTACCCTTTGTAGCGACCTCATACTCGATTTATTTTAAGTATAGGTAATATGTGGTTCTAAAATCAGCGCCTCTGTGAATGACTCTAAATTCTGAGCATGCTCCCAATGATGTTTAGCTGTTTTAGTTTACTGTGTTCTTCGTATTAGTTTGCTGTCATCCAGTAGTCACAAACAGAATAGCTATCATAAGCCTCAAATTCTTCCAAGCAGCATTGCAACGCTCACAATGACAATGCTAACATGTTTAGCAGGTGTAATGTCTATCAAGTTCACCATCTTAATTTAATTATCACTAAAGCACAGCCGAGGGCTGTTGTGAATGTCATTACTTTTCCAGGTATTTGATCATAAATTGAAGTATTGGACAAGTTCAAAAATTGACCTACTGGTAGCACAAGATGAAAATTCATAATTACAATCCGCTGCTGATTAATTATATATTTAATATATAACAAAGTGATGGACTGACAGGCCTTAGAGCCATGCCATTAGCACGGCTAAAAAAAGTCTGTTAAATTTTTCTAATTTGCATCTAAATAGTTTAGCAAAAATGTTTTCTACAAAATATACATTTTAAATCAACACACACTTCTGGTTTTGATTGTGCTTATTAACACCATTATAATGTGGTCTTCAGCTTCCCATTTTAGCCAGAATTAATGATTTCTGTGGCAGTGGTCTAATTTAAAGATGTCACTGTCATTGCCACAAAATGTGAGTGTTTCTAAACTTCAGCTTCTCCGGAGAGGTCAGCTACATGACCACAGCCTGCAGGTGAATTCCCACTGGCTGCCCAGCTGCCATTGTCAGTGAGCCCTCAGTAATGTTATGTGAAAACTCATTAGGTGTTGTCAACCCACAGGTCTCTATAATTCAGTTTCTTATTGCTCATTTGCTCTGTTCCCCTCTGTCCCTCCATCTGCCTGCACTTTAGACGGGTGCTACGGCAATGTTTCCTGGCCTGGGGGCAGCTTCCATATCTGCTGCGCAGGGAAAGAAAGAAGGAGGAGCGGCGGGAGAAGCTGGGGCGGAAAGTGACTGAGGTTCTGCCTGATTTTGGCTCCCATCCACTGTAAAGCCTCTGGGAGAAACCGCCGCTGTAGGAAACAAACTGCATAGCCATACAGACGACACACACAGATCTCAACAACTCTGGAGAGGACCCTACAGACACATACAGAGGCACATTTCTCACATTTATTTAATATAAATAAATAAAACACACAACTGGACCTAAACAAGTTTTAGGATTCCAAAAAAAAAAGCTTTCAATCACTTTGTGGACTAATAAAATATCATATTTCAAGAACTGTTTGGTTCTTTTTGAAAAGTTACTACTCATATTCAGACTATCCAATCATTCATTATGTTGAATGCAAGGACACACTGTACTTTAATTAGCCTGATTATGGGGCTTGTGCTGAGATGTTTCATTTTTTCATTAGTGATAAATATCCATGACACATTTCACAAAGTCGACACTGTGGATAAGTGTTTGTGGAGGATAAAGGAGGTGTTGAGTGCAGAAAGATCCTCCTTGAAATGACGTTCAGCCCACGCAATGTGACGGACTGACCAACTCCAGAGACGTCAACAGATTACTCAATCTCACATTTTTCTTGTATGCCGACTCCCAGCAAGGCACTAGGATATAGAGGAGAAATAAAGACAATGTTCAAGTCCGGGGAGGACAGTCAGCTTGAAGGAAACAGTGATATTTGTTAAACCAAGAGCATAGGCGTCAGTTGTGTATAGCAAGATATGGCAGCTGCCATACCATGAAATCCGTTTTAAAAATAAATAAATAAATAAACTAATTACACTTGTATTGCCTTAAATAATGATGAGGATGACATGCACTCTCACATTCTGTTCTGGATCAACATTGCCTTCTTCTACAGCGTCTGCTCAGTACAGCCATGAGTGATGACAGTTCCCACCTCATGCTTATGGCTGTGGAAACTACACTGTTATAGACATTAAACGTGGATGATTTGCCCTGTTGAGACCCAGACACTACCCTGTTATAGACTAAACAACTAGCAGCCTACAGCACCAGAAGGTAAGAGGATGAATTTATCTTCCTCCTGCTGACTAACTGTTGTGCTGTGCAAAGAGCAAATAATCGCCCACAGCAGCCTGATGCTATTTGTTGAATTGTACAATAGCTGACCTTTGTTGGCTTTGTGAAAGTGTATTGACGTTACAATACAAACGTGATTTAATTTATTGGATTGTCTGAAGGCTTGGCGCTGATTGCTGTTTCATTGTGTGCTATTGGACCTGTGAACTGTGTGACCACGGATGCAGTGCCCCATACAAAAGAGAGACCTGTTTGAGAGGCAACGTGGACTTCATGTAGCACTTACTGAAACTAAAAGTACTGCACTGTATGGTTATTCTATGCATCTACTGTATGTACAACATGCACTGATTCATGCCTATTTGTCTGTGAGAAGAAAATACACCTGATAGGTCAATACGACAATATGTTGTGTTTTGCCCAGCTACTTTAGATAAGTGCCTCACAGCCTGTACAAATGATGTCCGTCATTGTCGGTGTTTTTCCTTCAAACGTATGAATGTAAATATATTATTGAGACTGAAATCAGCTTGCAAGGTTGGGCTGTAGTACAATAAATTCACCTATTTTGTGCCCGATTTTGTTTTGCTCTTTTTGAACACCCACTGGTTGCCTACAAGAAATTATCATGTAATCCAAAGCATTACTCTATTTTTGTTTAAACAAACGACTACTGATAAGGGTGCTGTCCATGGTGCTGAAACACGCACAAAAATAGATGCAGTGAAAGGTGTTTTCACTGCTCCCTGCAAGTCGCACATTACATGCAAACCATTAGGCATTGTGAATGTAAGAGAGAGCTATATGTCCATTAAAACATTCTCGATAGCATATTGCACACTTGACATCATAGCACACTGCCATGCCTCGGCTTTAGCTGAAACAACATCCCTGTCCGAGAGACTGGTGAGACGTGAAATGAGGCAGCAGTGGAAGGAGATTAAAGGTCAGTGAGTGGATATAGCTGCATAGACGAGATGCCAGTTGTCAGTGACATTAATGGCAGTGAATGTATCTTATTGGGGTTTGTAGTTATTGCTGTGTCAAAGTCAGGGCAACTCAGTAGCTGCAGTAACCCACTGATATCCATCCTGGCAGCTCTCAGGTTTGCTGCAAAGCAGAGGCCAGCCATTAAAGTTGAATCAGAGTGAGAGGAGCCATGCTGCCATCCAATGGATATAAACAGAACAGCAGCCATAAGCTCCAAACTCATTTTTTAAATCAGTTGCGTAACAGTCTCTTACACCAGATCTGTTGGGGTGGGAGTGGGAGGGTTCAGTTTGTCTCCCATGGTCATGAACTCTGCCCAGTTCCCACGGAAACCTCTGGAGTAGACGCCTGTGTCCACAACGAGTCCCCAGAAGGCGCTGCGAGCGGTTTTGTCTCGCAGGGCGATGCGTGCCTCACGCTCGGTCACGTTGTAACTCACGTTGATCACCTGCACCATCAGCAGGTGTAGCAGCCCTCCAGTCACAATACTGCTGTACCACGCACAGGTGAAGCAAAGTGCAGTGCTGGAACACACAGTGAGAGAAAAGATGGTAAAACAATGAAACGCCACACAGACAGGATGTACCGAACAACCTAAGTGCTTGCAAGGTTCTCACTGTTTATATAAATCATCAGAAAGACTCTTTTTGGCCTTGAAAGTATAAAACTTGATTATTATTTACATTGATTATAACTAACAATAATTAAATTCAGTGTAAATGGGACACTAATTCCATTTATTTCTATTTTAATATAAACCTGCGAAAACAATTATAAAATGTGCTGTGTGACCAGTTTAAAAGCTGTTAATGGAGAAATCACAGTTAAAAGAACCATTATTTTTACATATTCGGGGCATGATAGCAATTTAGACAAGTTGTATGTTCAGTAGTCTGAGGTTCAGATAGTTGTTCTGAAGGCATATTTTAAATGTGCGACGCCTACTGCAGTGCCAGAGCAGATCCTTTACCACTCTCTCATTGCTCCGAGCAAAAACAGTGAGTCTTTCTCCAACAGCTCGATAGGAAACACTCTAAGGTGTTCTGTGAAACTGTTTCAACACTACACTGAAAAAAGCCTTATGCAATATGCAATAACCTCACACCAACTAATTTAGTCAATTATGGAAAAAAAATGTCAAATTGCCGCACAGCGCTTCAGTTAAAAGAAAAGATTTCTTCTGTTGATTGCTGCTAAAAGGCCAGCTGCCATTTCCTGTCTCCATGGTTTCGATCTGAAGTGTACAGATGTACACACATATAGAGTATGGAGTAGTAGTGTAGAAAGACTTAGTAGCCTAATGGTTACAACACATGGCCCATGGTCGCTCGCAACTGTTGTCAGCTTGATTCCAGACGGCAACCTTTGTTGCATGTCTCCCTCTTCATCTGTCACTATCCAATTGAGGCAAAAATGCACAAAAGAAATGTGGTTTGGGAGGAAAATAAAGATGTTCTTTACATTGTTATTAATTTATTCTGAACATCAACGAGCAACCAAACAACGGCCATTTCAAGTTTTTGGCAGCTACTCTACATTTAAATATTAGAAAATTTTTAGGCCAATATCGCTGTTAATCATTGCTATTAATGCATAAAGACTAGTTTGACTTTTTGAGATTTATTCTTGTTCACTTGCCAAGAGTTAGATAAGAGGATTATACCATTCTCATATCTGTACGGTAAATATGTAGTTAGTGCCAGCAGCTGCTTAGCTTAGCTTAGTTTAAAGACTGGAAACAGCTGGCCCTGGCCCTGTCCAAACATAACTAAATCTGACTACCAGGACCTCTTAAACATACTTAATTAACACGTAACATCCTGCATGTTTAATCTGTACACAAACTGAAGTTTAGAAACAACAAGGTGTGGTTTTAAAGGGGATTATGTTTCCCCATTTCCAGTCTTTGTGCTGAGCTAAGCCAACTGGCTGCTGCTGCTAGCTTCAGTGTGGTATCAGTCCTCTCTTCTAATTCTCCGCAAGAAAGTGAATAAACATATTTCCCAAAATATCAACAATATTTCAGTCAATATTCATTTTTTAAATAGATTTTTATAAAAGATTCCATACATTTGGTTACGAAAGAATTATGACTAAGATATCCACTGAGCAGCAAATTTTATTTAGAGTTGAAAAATACTGTAATACAGTGCTCTTTGGTGTACAAATTGTTATAGTAGTTATTTTTGCAATTACTGTAAATTTCTTGTTACTTGTTGGCTGGCATCTACACTGATATTGATATATCGATTACAAATGTATATTTACCGCTAATATTAGTGTGGATTTTAATGTCATACTCTGCTTGTATTCAGACGTGCTACAAATGATCATAACCTATTTTTTTAAAATATTTTTTCTCATCTTTACATTTGTATTGTAACGGTTATATATCTAACAACCATCTGGCCTGGTAACAATGAATGGAAGCGAAAGCAACAAACATACACACCAATTTTCACCAAAGTACCTGTACTGGTCGTAGACCCCCGGGCAGTAGAACAGGGCAGTGAGGTGGTGTTGTTTCAGACACACACTCTGCAGTACCAGGCTGATCCCGTACAGGGACGTCAACAGGAAGAGGACGAGTGTAAGCAGGAAGCTGCGGTGATTGGCCTGCCCCACACAGCTGTTTATCCTACCAGGGCACCAACGGAGGAAGACGCACAAACACAGTACACACACAGGTAGACAAAACATTGTACTGAGACCCCAGGGTTACAACTACACACATGCAGGACTACACATATAAGCATAGGAGTGGATGACAGTAAGGAACTTGTAGCTGTACTTAATATAAGTGTGTGATGTGCACTGAACACAACATACAAATATGGTCAATAAAGACCCAGCAGGTGTTAACAGGACAAACACTTGTATCCTGGAAAGAAAGACTTACGGCATTGTTTCGAAAATTAAAAAGGAAGCTTTTTTTAGATTTATTGAAAAGAAAAGACAAGCAGATGACAAACAAGACAACTTCAGTGTTTGAGATGTGACACGAAGTGGAAGAAACAGAGATGACAGGCCGAGCGAGAGGCATTTTAATGGAACCCACCAGACACAGTGGTGGTCGAGACGCAGCACGCAGACACCACAGATCCGACAATGTCCCGCCCTTGGGGGCCGCACCACCCTGCACACCGGACACCAGTTCCTCCGGCTACTTTCCTTCAGCTCCACCGCCTGCTCCGGCGACGATATCGCCCGGTTGGCTACCGTCATCGTCACATCCTGCCTCCCCCCGTTGACGGCAGGGTCTCTGTCTGCCAGAGGGCTGTAATACGTCACCGTGCTGTGGACGGACTCTTGGTTTGGCCGCACGATGCCGGGTTCTCTCTTGGTGTGGATAAGGGCTACCAGGGTGAGTATGACCCCTATGGTTACCACGGTTACCTCCACCTGGCCAACATCCCCACTTGGAAGCACCTCGGTGATGAACAAGTAGTACATGTACCCCAGGGAGAAGAGGGCCAAGCTCAGGAAGAAGAGTGTCCGCCCTTTCTTGCGGTGGGTGAAATAGTAGTACCACAGCACCAGCCCGGGTAGAGCTGTCAGAACCACGATGCCGAGCAGGAAGTGGAGGGCAGCGAGGTGGAGCAGGACAGGAAGGAGAATAAGAGGAGGGATGACGGACAGGTCCACTCTTCGGGCTCCACCCCACAGCCAAGGCACACGAATGCGGTCCGAAAAAACTGCAGCCACATGTGCCAAAGATTCAGCCTTCTGAGGCTCCCTCTTCAGAAACCTGAGTAGAAAAAAGTCCCAATTGTTGCATTAATGTCAAACATTTGATGGTTCCAGCCTCTTAAATTGCTCCATTAAATTCAAGTCGATTAAAAATAATCCTCAGTTGCAGCCCCAGAGTTATTCCGTTTAATGTCTCTCACCTGTCACAGGCGTCATCCAGGTCCTCGCAGTCACAGCAGCAGGCTGCTACATGGCTGCGCTCTCCGAGTCTGTTCACATATTCGCAGCAGCACAAGATCTCCTCCGCCTCCGGCACCTTGGTGGCTCGCTTCTTCATGACGGACAGCCTTACAGCCTAACAGAAAAGTTTATTGGAGCCGCTATTAGCTCAGCTTGTGGGCGCATTTGCGTTCAGAGACAAGAAAAGTGGCAGAGACAAGGAGTGAAGTATAAATAATAACCTCTAAAAGCCCACTTTGCTGAAATGTCCTTTTTCATACAGCAGCTTTAGAGTTTTAGAAGGTGGAGTGCTTCCAAGCAGATTTTCACCAAATGACACGTCAAAGCAGACCCTGCCCATTTGACCCTACCCACCCCACCTCACATCTGTCACACATCTGTCATGTTTCAGTGATTTACAGCAGCTGAACAGCCCCACCACTGCAGCCTGCTAGCTCATCTAGATGGAACAGATGGATCTGGGCAGAGGTGAGACAGTGGCAACATTTATAACAATTCAGTGTCCCCTTCACCACAGAAAGCAAGACTGACGATACCCCAGTGAACCACTAAGTGGGATTAATCCTTCAGCTCAGTTAAACCTCTCTCTAGGGGGGATCTGGCTCTATTGGCCGATGAGTCTCTGATTAGCAATAAATCAAAGAATGACATGGTGTGTTGTTATTATTCAGCCACTGATCAAACTAGCGTGGTAAAGAGGAAATCGGGGTCAGGAAAGGTCCCTCAATGTCTCACTGGTGGGTCCTTCCAGGCAGCCTTGAAGGTAAGTCTGTAAGGGCCTAAAGAGAAGACAGATTGGGCTACATGTACTGATTAATATGTGTGTGTGTGTGTGTTTGTGTGTGTGTGTGTGTGTGTGTGTGTGTGTAGTTGTGTGGTTGTGGTGTGTGCCACCAACTGGCAAAAAAAAAATCCTCCCTGACAAAAACAAAACTAATACTGCAGAAAGGATTCATAGCGTGTCTGTGGTGCTCAGCAGTTTTATGTCCTGTTGTAACACTGAGGGATTTTCTGTGGTATGCAGTAGTTTTGACTTGCAGGACATTAAAAAGATTATAAGATGTAATGCAGATGGCTGTATCTTTTTATTAGTGTTTTTTTTAAGTGGGATTAAGAATTGGGACGTATTGCTATGAGTACATATACTTAAAAAAAAGTTAAAACTCTTTAGATAAAATGCTACTTCCAGTTTGCTGCTTTTTTCTATATCTAGTGGTGATT